TGACGTTTAAATCATCGTGTAAAAACAAGTAATAATAGGCTACTTACTTGTTATAAATACGCGAGAACAACATTTTTTTAATCTTGAAAAAAAGAAATACTCCGACGTAAGCATTTTTCGTGCAAAATAACTCTGCGTTCTAGTTCTTGAAAGACATGAAGAAAAAAAAGCGGCAAACAAGTCTTAATAATCATATCGGAAACAAGCATCAAAAGACCTTGGAACTTTCTTTATCGAAGCACAGGGCGCAGATAAACAAGCACTTCTGAAAATTCGTGTGCGCGCGTAACGAGGCAGAAAAGCCCGAGCCGCGAAACACAGCAGGAGAAAACTCAGTCGTGGTACTGAATAATTCAAGGATCCTCGCGGGATGAAAGGGAGCACACCACCGGCGCAGTGCACGTATACAACGCGCGGGCTCTCGGACGCGCAACGCCATCCTCCGTCCCGCCGTATCCCGAACGACTCTCTCTCTCTCTCTCTCTTTCCCTTTTTTTTCGCCAAGCTTGTTTGCGCTTCATTCGGCCAAATTGAATTTTGTCTCGGGGCTACTGGTCGCCCCTCGACGCCGCGTGTATACACACGCGCGCGAAGCAGATCCGGAAAAAGAGCGCAATGTTTACCCGAAAACAGATGGCACAGCTTCCAGGGAGCCCTCCTCTGGGGAATTTTGTTTTCTCGCGCCGCTGCCCCGGGAACGAGGAAACGTGACGATGTTCGGGCGCTCGTAATCCTTTCGCTGGCCGGCGTGGATTTGGGGAAACACCGAGATAAGTAAGTACGTACGCTCCGTGAGAACCGGTGGCATGTTATCGCAAATAATATGGTCATCGCCCCACAGTGGCGGCCTTATCTTGTTTGGCCGGCCTTTGTCATCGTGCACAAGAATGATACAGCTGCTCCTGATTGTTTCATTGATTTGCCCGTCTGTTGATGAAACGCGCGATTTCGGATTACAATTACATTGATTATTCCAACGAGTTAAAAGCACGGAACGTTGCGTCAATCACTTTTGCGACGCATTTGCTCTCGCGGTGCGGGAATGGCGTTCCCGAGCAGACAAGAAGTTTGACTCGGCTCAAATACAGCTGGATTCGTGGATCTAAAGTTGTCGGGGGTGATAAGAAATGTCGCCCCCCTTCTCTCTCACCTTGAAAAAATCATACACGTCAAGTGGCGCGGTAGTACTACGTTGGCAAGTAGACTTACCAGCCTCTTGCTATTTGAGAAGACACCGTTTCACTCACAATTCATCGAAATGCAGGGGATGTACATCACCCCTGTTTGAACAATCATCCTAGACACCAAACAAAGTGTAGAGCAGGTGTATGAGTTTCAACTTCATCAAGTGGTCCAAAAATTTGGGTCTTACGTGGCTTAGATCGGCAATTAAAGCCACGTAACATTACTCTGCACTTTTGCGTATGACGGCAGTATTGAAAACTCTAAAATCTGAATTGACAGTCTTACAATACGTTGGCAAGATACTTGTTTTGCTATGTAAATGCTAAAAAAGACATTAGTTTTTCATGAAATGTATATTAATGCTGTGTTCATTCTTAAAATTTTTAATGCAATAAAACCTAATTTTGTTGGAATGATAATTAAATACCTGTTGGACTAGTCCTCTTGGCTTAAAGTTAACATTTACAAAATCATTGTAAAAGATAGGTAATTCACCTAAAAGAGCGTAGTCAAATATATCCCAGCTAATTGCTTACTTACAATACATGTTGACTCGCTTGGATGTGAAATATATTAGTGAATTACAGGATCAAATGAACATCAAGGGTATGCTATATTGTAAAAGTTAAAAAAGATATTAAAGCTAATCAGAGTAAGTAAAATGAAACGAAAAACGTGCCTAATTAGTTTACAAAAACAAGTGGCTAAATTTGTGTAAAATACTACGTCTTGCATGTAAAGCACAACCAATCTACAGGGTGCCAAAGCAGAAAGTGTTATTTGAACAACAGTATTCAATTTTAATATATTCGGTTATCATATCCAACTGAGTATTAGTATCGATATGTTAGCTTTGAATTTAAACTAACAAACGCTTTTTCAGCCATATATAACGTTTTTCGATATTGAGTGTCTTTATAACAACACTATCGGTGACATTGATCAGTAAAAAAAAGTGTGTTTTTAAAACATCTGTAATTTTCGTAAAAAACATGCTAGCAAACATGTTGTCTAAAAATGTGGTATTTAGAAATTAAATGTCGTAAAACGAGATTTTGGCTATTTTGAAACGATTTTTGCCGATGAGACGGGACTTTAGAGAAAAGTTTGCTGTACAAAAAGTTTTTTTTTCATGAAATTTACAATTTTTGTAATCAACATTTTATTGTTCCATTGAAATTAATTTCTGTAACAGGAAAAAAATGTATTTTTTGCTGTTTTTGCGTGTATTTTGCTTTATAGAGAGTCTGCATTGCAATCTAGAGCAAAGTGTATAACACAAAAAGTTTTGTTTCAACAAGATCTACAACACTGTTTTTGAATGCGTACGTGAAAAATGTGTGTGAAAAAAGTCACTACAAAAAAACTGTTTTTTTTTTGTCTACGAGCACCACCCTAAAAATACTGTGAAAAATTTTTTTTTCGATAAAATTTGTCTAAATGCAAACCATCAGCTTATACATCCAACTCGATGTTACGGACAAAATTTTAGCCCATTTGGATCATAATAACTTGAGTTAGTCGAAAAACTTGATGACGTACACACGCACTTCCACACATACACTATGTGACCAACTCAGATCACCTTCATACGAGGTTAAAAACTTGTCTAAAAGTAGATGATTTATAAGTGGTTATACTTTTTGCTCTGACAAAATTATAAGTCACTACCGTACATTGTCGTGCCTAAAAATTCAGTATGATAAAGTTGTACACCTATTAATACTACGGGAATACATGAAATTCGTGACTTTTTTCTCAACAAAACATAATCCATCACCACAGAGTTTTGTAGATCCAAAAAATCCTGGCAACACAAAGTCTATATCCCTAACCACATTGTGATTAGATTTGCCGTACCTACTAACCCCGAAGAACTGTAAGTTTCACTTATTCGCTATGTGAGAGTGTTTGGAGGGGATAAGAAAATCGATCGAAGCGCCCATGGTGGTGAAAATATTGTTAGCTCTCGCAACACTGAAGCCTAAATTCTGTATGCGATTAACTTTTTTCTCCTGGACCTTAAATCTTAACGCTATTTCGACCTGTTACATGCGTAAAAGTTGTAGATTAAGAAACAAGGAGTCCATATAACTGTATTTGATCGGGAGCGCGTGGTGGCTCGGTCGGCTAGATCGTGGATTGGCACGCACCGTGGGGTTCGATTCCCGGCCATAGTGCGACTTTTCGGGCAAGTACCTCTGTGATTTTTCATATGTGCTTTTTCACCACGCAATGCTCCTCGAGGAGGGTTTAGGCGACCTTCTTGCAGCATAATTGCCTATTTCCCTCTACCACCCTCCCAATAATGGGAGGCCTCCCATCCCTTTCCCAAGTGCTAAGTGCCCATAGTAGTGCCCTTATTAAAGGAGCCGGACGTAGAGCACTATAATGAAAAAAAAAAAAAAAAAAAACTATATGGTTCGTTACATATTGCCATACTTGATAGACATGGAGGATGGATAAAAGCTCATTGAAATTCCGATATCCGGCCAGCATTTTTTTTATATCTTCGACTTCTTAATTGGATTAAAATAGTGTATACTATAGACATACATTGTATAAATAGCTTTTTTAAGAGCAAGTATTTTTTTTTTTTTTGATCAAAGAAGAATTTATAATGCATATTATGCACCTGACAAACATGGAAGCCAATTCAAAGTTTCTCTTCCATCGCAATTTCTCACAACTTAATATTTTTGCCTACCAATCACCAAGGAAAAAAAAAAAAAACTGTATTTGATAAAAATATTTTCAATAATAGCAATTTTATGAGTGGTTATATGACATAGTAAAACGAGTAAAATAACACACGTTGCACTAGCTTTGTCCTACTGCGCAAGCGCAGTGCATGACAGTTGAAAGTCCTTCAGGCATTTTCATGGTTCCATGAATCATCGTGAATAAAATTATAATTACCATTTATTGATTTTTCTATACTTTTTTTTACTACCACTTCATATTATGCCTCCCCTCGTCTTCACCTTTTCAGTCATTATTTCACATTATCTTTATTTAGAAAGGTCCTTACGATCAATTGATACATTTCGCATTGGTTTTCGACCCAAAACCACTTAATCTCAATACTTATCCAAACACCCCAACATTTTCTGATTTCGTTAAAGCATTTTCCCCGCTCGGCCTCAAAACAATCGTCATATCGAAGCTGAAGTGCGGCTCATTTCGCCAAAAACTCACCCCAGCGAGAAGGTACACCTTATCACACTTTCACTCCTTCGCCAAACAGTAGTCCCATCACGTTCGTCATTTCGTGAATAACAATTGTCGCTGGCACAATGAGCCCCCTGTGCGATCCCTCGGACTCCCCGAAACGTGCGGAGTTTCACGAGCAGCCGCAGGACACAAAAGCAAAACGTATGCCTGTGTACCTCTCGCGCTCGCCACACACCGGCCTGTCCGAACACACGTACTCTGTGCATGCATCTTTTTGTACGGGCGCCAGAGGTTTACATTGGGCGTCGGAGCAAGACGCGAAATCACGATGGCTGTGCCTCCGGCCCTGGCAAAATACGTGTATGTGGACGCTGCAGGAAGGGGGGTCGCTTTGGCCACTTATGGGGTGGAATGTGCGCTGAAGCGGTGAGTATACGGAGGTGAGGGTGGACGCGGAACGGAAAAGAGCAGTTCAACGGTGGTCACTGCATGGGATGGTCAAATAAGTGATCCTCAACAATGAGCCATTGACAAAGCAGAGCCTTGTTTATTCATTCGTTTTATTGCTTCTACTTGCTTCAAACATTTTCAGCTCGAACACCATATTTACAAGATTCATCGCATTTAGGAGGCTGCTTAGGTACGTATTATGAAGTACACTTGCTGAACGAGGCATAAACGTTACAAATTTTTTATTAGTCCGGGTGAACTGCGTTTTCGTTGATCCAATCGACGTACTTGGACACGCGAGTGTAAATACCAGGATATGTGGTGCTCGCGCAGTACGGGTCCTTGATGGACCATGATACGATTCCCACGAGCTTTCCATCGATCGAGAGCGGCCCACCGGAGTCCCCCTGGAAAACATGGTATTCATTTGAAACAAGATATTAGGTAGTTTTTAAATGTGTTTGGGAGTATTTAGCAATTTGTGGAAGGAAATCGTTAGGAATGTTGCTAAATATAAAATGCCCATTTTGGGGTGACGTCTTGTAGGTGTGGACCAAAGTGGCACAATTAATGTTGATTATCAATACGTTGCAACTACATCAGAATATCTAAATAGTTTTAATATGGAACTAACGAAAATTATCTAACAAGCTCACCATGAAATTCTACCTCGATTGAAGTTAAACATATTTACGACAATTTTGTGACATTTCTAGGTAATAATGTTTTATTCCTCTAATATCTATTTTTTGCGTACCCATACAAAAACCACCACTATAAGATTTATCATTTTTCAAAGACTTGCATGTCTTAAATTGACAAAAAGTTTATCGATTGTTAAGGAAGAAATTAAATTGCTAAATACCATTTATATCTTAATTAATGATATTCACGCGCTATTGATGGTTGTATAAATGATAGTCCTTTCAAGTTCGAAAAAAATTTTTTTGGATAAAAAAAAGTTGTGATGGTTACTTTATAATTGTTAATTACCTTATACACAGCATAAGCACAAGCATTTATGTACGTTTTAAGCTTTTTAATCTCAATAAAGTTTACTTTTCAATAACTTCATGATCATTTGTAATTTTATACTTACAACTAATATTCATACATTTCTAAATCACCAATTTTGAATGATACAACCAACTATACACGAGAAGTCTTATTCAAATTAAGTTTAAATAAAAAAGACATCACGTATTTATGCTTATTCAAGAAACATAACGTAAAAAATGAATATGTTCTGTACCAATTTTTATCTACGCATACAAGTGTTGTGATGCTAACACTATCGAGTCATACTTTTTAGTTGCTTTATAGTGGCCTTACTCTATACTTTAAAATTATTAAGAGTTAATAATAGCAAGTGAAGTTCAAAAGGGAATTCCTTACCGAGCATTGTCCTCTTCTTGCTGTCGGATCGTTGGCGCATAACTGCGTTGGATGAATAATTTCTGTCATGACACTTTGACAACTTTCTGGTTCAATGATGAAAATCTCAGCTTTTTGAAGATTGTCTGGCTGTTTCAACACTTTCTGCGGAGAGAAAAGACGTATTTACATTTTTAGTAAATGTTTTTTTTTAGTGGTGCTTCAACATAGGCTATGCTGGCAAAATACTTTCTATTATTCTATTTTCACGTTATACAGCAATCAAAAAAATTTTTCTGGTTTACGTGTATGTGAGTGTATCAGAAACATCATATTTCCTAAAATGGAAAATACAAGCAATCCCTTGGGTTTTGCTAAATGTGATGAAAATTACAATTTCACATGACTTTTCTTAGTTTGGATAAAAAATGAAATGTAAAATGTAGATGACGACAATAACGATGTAATGTATAAGTACATTACACAGTTTTTTTTTAGCAAGATAAAAATAGACGTGGAAACAGTTTAATAATCAGTCAATACTGTTTGTGAGTTCAAAATTTTTCAAATTTCATACTAATTTTTATTTATAAACCCATAAGGACTGAGCATGTTGACATAAGACGTAAAAATATTATATCGTTTACTTATTATTGAGCAATGGTTTTATTACTTACCCCACCAAGTCGACCCCATCCGGAAACAATAGCAATACTGTTAGTAGCTACTTCTTCGTCGAGCGTTGGCAGCAGAACTGGTTGAAGAATAAACGAAAACTGAAAGGGAGTCTTAACCTGGAAAAATTCCAACGTTTATTCATTCAAGCAAATAGAATCTGATGAGAAAACTGAGCAAGTGTGGTAGTGAAAAGTACTCACTTCTACCAAACCAATGTCATTTTCGAAAGAGCCTTTAGAAGTGAATTTGCTATGGACAATTATTTTTTCAACTTGGTGCACGTAACCTGGTTTCTGCCAGTTGATAGTCCCAACAATAACTGTTAAGCTTGAAGCTTGTTTCCTGATGAAAAGTTACAGCATGTAAAAAAATCATAATGATAATAGTCGTACCACATAATACATGTCTTGGAAGTTACAAAGTACACATCTTTTACTTGATTATCATTATACAAAATATTATTATGTTTTCTTTTACGTTTCTCACATCTTACGACATAGGAATGAGCATACGAGTAATTTTTACTAGTTTTAGAATCATCCCTGCTCCAAATTTGTATACACTCGACATCAATAATATTGTTATTTATCATTAAGCATGATCCCATTCTTATAGAACAATTTTTTAGTGTAAAATAAAGAACCGATGTATATGCTTATTAGTCATAAAAATTAACAATTACATTTTTCTCATATAAGAATCTACATTTCCAAGACTTACATGATAAAATATACGAATGTGAAATTTTGATTATAATGTCATTGTGTAGAGTTGCATGATCATCGCATATCAGACTCTTTTGGACCTCAACATACGTAGATTTTAAACTGGGAATTAAAAAGCCTATAATATCGATAAAAACATGTACCCAAGGGTTTACTTTATCATCATTCACGTTTTCAAATTCAAATCCAACATTATAAATTCTTAAACTCTGGTAACTAACTTATAGTGAGCTATGAACAATAGAAATATATCATTCACTTATCAAAGAAATATACAATGGTGTATGTTTGCCTCTCAGTACATGAAACGTTTTCTCTATGCCCGACAATTTTTTAAGTAATAAGTGCAAATAATCCGTTGTACGTAGAAAAACTCATAATAATATTAGAGATGGAAAATTTAAAAGACTATAGAGATAATAATGTACATAACTTTTATTTGCATACGTTGTATAAAATAGTTATTACAAAAACACCGCAGCTCATTTATGCTCACATTAAAATTGTTGAAGCATTGTATACTTGTTAATGAAACAAAAAAACAAAATAAATTATTACAATGGATTGATCAATAAAATGGTGATTGAAATATCTCAGCATGTTACAGTTAAAAATCAGGATTTTTCAGTTAATATCTTCAATACCTATAAAGCATTATCGATAAAACGTATAAAAGTACACGACTTGAGAAATTTACGAGGAAATTTATTCTTACAATATTCTATTCATATGAAAATATCGAAAATTTCTGTTACAAATGACAAAAGTAAAGGAGAATCCAATTATTTTTTATTACAATTTGAAGTTATAGGCCTATTTGAAAATTTAATTACGTATTAGTAAACTAATAATAATAGGCCAAGTGATGGACGAGAAACTAGTTTAGCACCCTTACATAAAACTGCTTTAAATATTTACGTACAGTCGTGAGAAATTATGTGCAGTTACTTCTTAAATTTTTGTGCTACTAAATTATCACAAGCAATTAAAATATCCTCTAATAACTCACCTGGCGAGACAGTGGGCGGCTGTTACAACGTAATATTCGTTTATTACGGATCCACCACAGTAGGCCCGTCCACCTCTTTGCAACGAGGCCTAATACAATGACATAAACATTTTTAACGGACTGTGATAAAAATTATCGAGTACAAAAAGAAATCTAATTTTTTTAAGTTTTACTTGAAAAGGAAGTTCTCCGAGCTTTGCACTTGTGCCATTGACGATCCTCGAAGTTAAATTATTGACCACACGACCTATGAAAAATGTTATTAGTTTTGTTTTTCATAACAACGAAAAGAGAGTGTAAATTTCAACCTTGTGTAACAGCAACTAAGGCTAAAACGAATAAAATAAATTTAACCATCGTCGTTGTACAATTTACAGCACGAAATAAGAGTTTATAAACGTTTGTCCATTTATAAATGTGGCTTTAAGTAGGAAATGCATACCAATTGAAAAGATAACATGAAATCTGTTTCAAAAATCAGCGTGTAAAAGAATAAATCTTTGTCATTTAAATAAAATTATCATGATGACAATTATCTGCAACTGATTGTTACATTAAGGACGTCAAAATTATGGATTTCACACTTCAAGAAAATTTAAGATTCACATTATTAGCTTTGTATAATAATTAACTTAAACATGTTTTTTTAATAGAATAATGAAAAATACCTAATCACGTTTTCAGTATACATTTTAAGCTCCTTATACATCAAATTTATAGTTTACCTGTAGTACCATTATCTTTAAATTAGCACCTTTGAATTCGCATGATACTTTATCTATTACATTTGTATTTGTTATGTATTTTCACATTTGATGCATAAAATTTTGTGATCTTTACCTAATTTTACTCATAAGTTACATTAGAAAAAAATGAACTTCAAATTATTCTTTTAAAGCCTATGAGTCTCAATTACTTACCTTTTCTGGGTTATAAGTTAATATGTTTCGTTAATGCTGCAAGGATAAACTCTATTTTATTAATATTTTCTTTTTTTTTTTTTTTTGTCAATTATCCAAATTTGAAGCGTTAAATACGATACGTTCATTAACCTTAAGTTGTTGGAGATTCTATTTCTTAAAACTGTCTATAGGCTCAAATTTTTGCCGTTAAGTTCTTTTTCTGTTACAAGCAAGAGAGAGTTTTCTACTGTTTGAACAATCAAGATAACACTCCAAATGAAAACTTATCAAACAAAAAAGAACTATTGCAGAGAGGTCCTCAACTTTCTTTATACTTAAAAAAGAAACAGCTATACAATTTTTGAATATATTTTGATCACATGCACTTCCCTCGAAAAGTATATGAATACGACAGTATGCCAGACCAGAGGCTGACTAACCGAGCAGCAATATGCGCATGTGGTCTCTCCTCTATTTGCGCGATGCAACGGGAGACTATAATATGGGGGGATATTTACACCGCGTCCTTTGTGTTCTCCCCCCTGTAATAGAACGACGATCATGAACCTGTCATTTAACGCCTGACAGTTGAACCAGTCGGGGGCTCCCTTTCCACCGCAAAATAATCGTACCTACTTACTGATACAGTGCCAACTTTTTTTTTTTTTTGTTACTCGAGTGAAACCGCAAGTGATTCCGTGTAAATTCTTTTTTTTTTTTTTTCTTTTTTTTTACCAAATAATGATTTCTACGCCATCTAACGTTGATGAATAAACAATTTATTAGGTCTCTCGCCCCCAAGAAAACGTAAGTATATATTATGCACAAGCCGTGATTTACGGTAAAAACTTGTTCATCCAGAGCAATCATCGTCAGTTCGGTGCATACATATGTATACGCGCTTACGTAACAATAATCTTTTTCCCTCGCGTTGGCTCTCCCGCGTGCGCATATAGGCGTGTGTATGTATGTGGGACACGTTGGTTCATGAAATTTATGGACTCGATTAATTACGCAATTATCTATGTTGACTGATTGGTGATTGGTATCCGTTTTTGGCTATGCCCCGAGAGATAGCGATACCCGCTGCAACAACACTCGTGTTTACATATATATACGTGTATATGGGTAAATAAACGTGCGCGCGCTAACAATAATAATAATCCGTTCCACCGTCGAGAGCTTCGAGCTGATGGAAAGCTGTGGCGCGTAATCGCTCGTCATTTTCACTTTCCGACGACCCCTGTAATTTTGGTGTCCGATTTAGAAGAAAAAAATTAAGGGCAACGGATTGCACGGCTTTGCACAACTTGACGTTGAGTAGAAGAAATAATAACAAGCAAAACAACAATGATGCATATAGTAAACTACACGACTAACTTTCATTTCTATTTTTTTTATCTAATACAATTGTTTTTGAGACTGTTATTCATCGTGACACTTGGTAATACCCTTAGTAGTACTTTTCTCAAATTTCATGCCGAAAGAATGTGAAATTCTTTTCATTGCCTTATCAGTTTTATTTAGCAGATGCTGAACGGTATATCATACCCGTCAGATGATTATCAAAAAATTAATTCTTTGTAGTAGTAAAATTATCGATGAAAGAAAAAAACAAGTTTATTTTAATCACACGTTTTTTTTCTTTTTGGCCATATCAACATATTTGCCAGCGATAATCAATGTAGCCAGTAAAAATAAATTTATATTCTCTAAGTTCAACACCTGACTGATTCTAGGTTGAGATAATATTAGGAAATCTAATGATGTTCAAAAGGTATTTATACAAAAATTTTGATATTAAAATACTCAAGTAAAAAAAATTACTTATATACTCATGATATTTCTTACACAAAAACTGAAAATAAATACACTGGTTGGAAAAGACGTTCAAATTGAGATTATGTTGTTAATCTACTAAGAGTTTGCGACCAATAAAATTCATTTTGAGAAATTGGCGTTGATAACAATTATAATTATGATAACAAGAGTAACAATAACGATAACAACAATAATTACAGTGTTAATAATAAGAATAACAACAAAAACAACAACATCAATAATAATGATGATGTGAATAATGATAAAGACACACTCTGAAGTTTGTTGCGGTGTACAACATATAAAATATCTGGATACGGTTAAAAAGTGTAGCAACGCTTCCGAGGGGATTATTTCACGTACAAAAATCGCGTAAGAAGCAAGTAACACCCATGTATGTAAGGCGTATATTTGCACGGTCAAGGAGTGTATAGTTGTACGCACTTGGACCCCCCAGCGTATGCACAATACACAAAGGACAGACGATCGGCGCCGTCAAAGCAGCCTCGTCTTGGGGATGTTGTGGATCCATTAGCATCAAGTGCAGGAGGTAACAACTGCATTGTGCGGGAGACGCGTTTACTGAGCACACAGGCCAACGAGGCTATACCGTCACAACCGACACCAGCCCTCGGACGCTTAGGTTGTTTTAAGGCCCCCAGTCTTGGCTAAACGTCCGCGCGTATATTGTTATACGCCACAATTGCACCTGTGGTATATCAGCATAGATACGCGACGTCACTCGGAGATAGGCACAACAAACAAGTCCAGGCGGATGGAAAATCAACAAAATCGTATCAAAAATAAGTTGACCACCCGAGGCAGTCAAGTTCGTTCAAGCACATTGGGGTTTGTCACAAATTTTCTATTCCATTTGAACGAACGTAATCGTAAACAAGACCCGGGTGTAATTGCACGTCACCGGGTCTCGAGAAGCGCTCGGTCGCGCACGACAACGCGGAGGCAGGTATAACACATACGCGTACAAACGAGGAAGACGAGAGACATTATATTGTATATGTGTTGGTGGGATAGCGTGTACACGGCGAGCCGAGGGGGTCGCTAGACAAAGAGTATGGAAAAAAAAGCAGGAGGAGACGAAGAAGGAGGAGAGAAGGAGGTGCATATGGAGCTGACGGGCTTTGAAGACGCAAAAGTAATCACATACATGCACCGCTCTTTCAGCCCTTATTTCGCGAATGACGCCACTCTCCTTGCTATCTATTTTTTTTTTTTTTTTTTTTCTTTTTTTTCCCCCCGTTATGTATATATGACCCTACGAACAATCCGGGCGCGTCAGTCCTCCGTGGCAAGTCTATCTGCCCGGCGTATTATGCGTTACGCACCATACGGCGTTGCGCGGGTGGAAGTACACAATAAAAGAGATGCTTCGAAATAAATCAATCCTGTGGCTTGTTCGTCCCTGCGTGCGCGTACGGAGCAATGCGACGGGACGCGGGTTTTTTTTCCGGTTTTTTTTTCTGTTTGTTTATTTCGACGAGCACTGAGCGGACGTGGCTCAAATTAAAATTTCACTTCGCGTCCGTGGCGGGTGGGGCTGAGGAGCGGCGAGGGCTTTGGGCGGAATCGTCGCTCGTTTGTTTTTTTCGATCGGACAACCACCTCGCGGATCCTTGATCCGGTGTTTATGGAGTAATTATGCCCATCGATCGAAGGTTATCGGCTTCGCGAGTGTTTTCACAGGTCATATAAATCAACGTTACATCAGCTCAAAAAATGTGTACTTTCCTGAGAACGTGGGCTTTTCCGAGGTTGAGAGCTGTTTTTTCACGATAATAAGCACACGAAGTTTTGAAGGTGAAAAAGTGCGTATTGCTTGTCATTTGAAAAACACCGTTGAACAATTATCATTCGAATAATATGGCTAGTGAATTTACGGAGCTTGTTTGTTTCTTTTCTTTTTTTCGAGAAGTCACGCGAAAATATAAAATATGATTTGGAGACATCCTTGAAACACTACTACAGTCAACAGCTTTTGTCAAAGTCCTTTTACAGAAAACTTGAACGGAAGCTGTTCAAGGATAAAAGTTATTTTCCATTTCAATTAGAAAAGTATAATTTTCATTCTCATATATATCGTTTAGGTATTTCTTCTTAAGAAAGCGCATCTCATCCATTTATTCGGCAGACACGTAATGATACTTTGAATAGAACAATGGAACTTTGAGAAAGTGTGTAATAAGTACTTGTAATCAGCATTTTTTACCCCTATATAGCTCTAAGGAAAAAAAGCATTTGGCGTACTCACGATTCTCCTCGTACTCGGTGAGTCAAAACTCGATTCCACCTGCGACACCAAGGCCCCCGATACCGAATCAGATGGAAAAAGTACCAGAAAAAAAAATTCACTTATCATCGCCAAGTACCGTACAGAAAAGAGGGGGGGGGGCGCTAACTATACCCCCCACTGATCTCAAGTGTGTCCGCATGACCACCAGGTCCATACAGCTGTAATAAAGCGAGGCCATAACCATGCTCCACTCGACAGGACTCGTATAATGAGCGCTCCAAGTTATTTACGATCCCCTGTCGCGCGTCCGCTGTCATCCCGAGTCTTTGACACGTACAAGTATACATATATATGTACACTACGAGCAGCAGCTCAATGTCACG